TAAAGTGTTTGTGAGTTGTGTCTTGCAATGGTTAGATTCCTATCCTAAGAATTTTGCCATTTTAAAGCAGTGCCTGTCACCTTCACGTTGCCTGTGTCACTTTGGCACCGAGTCGGCTTTCTGCGTGTCTGTGAGCTGACACATAGAATGGGATTCACCCTTGGCCTGAAGGCAGCTGGGTGGCTCTGCCCATCTCTTGTTATCCTGGGAAGCAGCTGAGCAGAGATGTGGCCCTGCAGCCCTGAGAAGCAAACAGGCAGCGCACCGCCTTCCATAGCCTTGGGAGATGGCTGATCCGCCCATCCTGAGAAGGCTGGCCCTCAGCAGCCCTGCAGGTCACTCAGCAGCCCTGCAGGTCACTCTTGGAGCCCTAGGACACTAACAGGTGCCCCGTTAGTCCGCCAGTACCTTCAGGCCCCTGTGTGGCTTCAGACACTGACCCGCTAGCAGCTTGCTGCAGTACACCCACCAGGGCCCCCAGGGAGGCCTGGTACCCCCTCTGAAACCTGACACACGCCTCTTAACTCACAGTGCCACCTTATAGCCCCTGAGCCTAGGCCACCAAGACATCTGGAGATTGTGCTGCTGTTGTTTGTAGCAGAAGAAGCTGTACAGACATCAAGTTCAAACACCTACCGGGAACAAAGCCAAATAGCTTTTTCAACAGACAGCCTGGGCCATGTTGTCAGGAGAAAGCCATTCATTAGAAAAGCCATCTGCACAATTGGTAGAGGCAGCAGATCTGCCAGACACAGAGATGTCAGTGGAGGGTCAGACTAAGCATGGGAAAGAAGTGTGAAATGATACCTTCTAAAGGAACCCTTGGGGCCGGCCAGGTAGCCCAGCTGATTAAAGCACCTGCTAGACACAGGGACCAAGGTTTGATTCCCACCCCACACCCAGGGTGCACTGAGGCAGCAACTGAGACTGGGCGTGGTGGCACGCACCTGTAATCCCAGCCCCTGGGAGGCTGAAAACAGGAGGATCACTATGAGTCTGATCTGTGTAGTGAGACCCTGTAGACCCTGTAGACCCTGTACTAAATAGATAAAAAATAAAATAAAGGAACCTTCTGTAGCAGTAGACCTGGGGCTGGGGAGATGGCGCAGTAGAATAAGCACTTCCCTGGCAAGCGCAAGGATCTGAGTTCAATCCCTGGTTCTGGAAAAAAAAAAAAAAAAGTAGGTGCCAGGGAGATAGCTCAGTAGAATAAGTGCTTCCCTGGCAAGCACAAGGATCTGAGTTCAATCCCTGGTTCCGCAAAAAAATAAATAAATAAATAAATAAATAGCAGTAGACCTTAAAGAAAAAGGAATCAGTAACTTGAAAAAGAATTCAGCATGATTATTATTATTTGGTTTTTCTGAGACAGGGTTTCACTATGTAATCCAGGACAACCATAAACTTTTTGGCAATCCTCCTGCCTCAGCCTACTGAGTGCTGCGACTACAGGCGTGTGCCACCTTGGTAGAAGGTCTCACTTATGCAGCTTGAACTTGTAGTGATCCTCCTGATTTCAGCCTCCCCAGTGCTGGGATGATAGACATGCACCACCACACCCGGACTCAGTTGCAGGCTCAGCCCATCCTGGGAGTGTATCCAGTGTGGCATGTGAGACTGGGATTGAACTCTGGTCCCTGAGTTTGCCAAAGCAGGTGCTTTAGTCAGCTAAGCTATCTTGCTGGCCCTCAAAATAGTGATTTTAAGAAATCTTAATAGGATGCAAACAATTCAATGAAACTAGGAAGACAATTAAGAATGGGAAATTTAGCAGGACGTTAGATATCATAAAAAAAGAACAAAAGGAATTACAGAGCTAAAGAACACACAAAGTGAAATTAAAAAAATACAATTGAGATCTTCAACAGCAGAATGGATCTGGCATAAGAAAAAAATCTTTGAGCTTGAAGTCTTTTTGAAATAACCTGGTCAGACAAAAACAAATTCTTTTAAAGAATAAAAAAAGCTTTTGAGACATATGAGAGGCCATGAAGTGTGGAGGTGGTCACATGATTGGGTTTCAAAGGAGAGAAGAAAAAAGGCACACAGAAACCAGTTCGGTGGACTATTGCTGAAGATATTTCAGATTGTGGCAAAGATGCTGACATCCAGGTCCAAAAACCTCTCATAGAATCCCCTAGAAAGATTGTCTCTGAGGCATATTAGGGTCAAATAGCCAAACGTACAAAGCAAAGCAAAAATTCTGAAAAACCAAAAAAGTATCAAGTCCTGTACAGGGGAATGCCCGTTATACTAACCACAAACTTCTCAGGTCAGGAGAGAAGGGGATGTGACAGTTAAAGTTCTGAAATGACAAAAGGAAAAACCAGGGGCTGGGGAGATAGCTCAGTAGAATAAGTGCTTGCTTGGCAAACACAAGTGCCTGAGTTCAATCCCTGGTTCTGCCAAACAAAACAAAACAAGCCAAAATTGATGGGCAGTGTCTGCTCGTCTTGCAGAATACTCATACAAGTTACTTGCAATCCAAGATTTTACTTGGATTATAGGCATATAATCCTATATATGCACTCTTGGATTAGAGTACTTGGATTATAATACTGTACATGAAAGTTAACATTGTTATGAATGACCAGTGTATCAGTGAAATAAAGGGGCAATTTAAAAATCTTTGCACTGGGCATTGTGGCACATGCCTATAATCCCAGCAGTTGGGAGGCTGAGGCAGGAAGATTGCTGTGAGTTCCAGGCCAGCCTGGGCTACACAGTGAGTTCAAGCCCAGCCTTTACTACATAGGGAGAACCTGTCTCAAAAACAAAAAAAATCAGGGGCTGGTGAGATGGCTCAGTGGTCTAAAGCACCTACTTAGAACAAGCTAAGCTAAGGGACCGTGGTTCTAATCCCCCAGCACCACATGCCAGCCAGCCCCGCCCCCTGGTGGGCTGAGTGGGCCACACACACACAAAA